CATTGTATTTATGCAACGCAAAAAAAATGAAGTTATTTTTATCAGAAAGCATTAAATGAATTTTTTCGTGCATTATATATGTTTTTGGGCTATGTATGATTTTTTTTTATTTTCTGTTGAATTTTGAGACACATTAGTTAATTCTAATAAACTATATATATATATATATATATATAATATATATATATATATATATATATATATATATATATATATATATGTACTTTCATGCATATTTCTCGTACCAAACTAGCACAGATGACATTTATAGCTTCCAGAACAATGAGAGGTTTTAATTTCAGTTCATTTTCAATATTTTAGTAAATCTGTAAAGAAATAAAGATTTATGATGGACATCTTTTGAAATAATCCTAGAAAAATAATTATTTCAGTTTAATTATCACAGGACCACAGTTTGAATCGATATCAGATGTCTGTTATTCTTTCCCAAAGGAACTATTACTCCCTTAAGCGTAATCGCAAAAATGTGGGTGCAACCCCTCTGGAGTATTGGTCTCCAGTGTGTAGAAAACCTCCCAGACGAAATATCCTTAAAACGGGTAAAATGGATGACATTTAAAAAGTATCCCCTGCTATTTTCATTATTGTTAAAAGGATATGTAATGTATTTGTCTTTATGTGCAATTTCAAGAAGAGAGGTATAATAAACTGGTACTGAGAAATGGGACATCTTTTAATAATTATAGTTATGAATTATAAAGTTTTTAGAAATGTTTCCAGACTTGATTATATGCTTTTTAATATTTTATGTCTGTTTGTGTGTTGTTGGAAAGTTTGGTTAACTTTTAGACTCGATTTCTTAAATGTTTACTTCATGCAGTCTACTGAATGAGATTAATCCACGGCCTTTACCTTAGTAGCAAATATAGTAGCAAGTATATTGTTAACATCATATATCAGTTTGTTTAATTCCCCGAGGAACGCCTAAACTAAGATTTTTCCTTTCTCCTAATTTCCACATGTTGCTATTGAAAACTACAGACTACTTAACCATCGCAAATTTAGTTAAAGTTGCGTCCATATATCTAGCGTCCGTCGGCAAATTCAAACAAATACCACCTTTAGTCCAGACAAATTTAAATGTAATTTTTCCCCAAAAAAATGAGATGTTTGAACAAAATAATGCTTTAAATATAATGTGCAGAATAATTTTGAATTCGGTTCCGCTAATGAACTTGCTTTTTTTTTGTCCTTAGAAGTAGAAAAAAAGTTTAATTTCCTTTCTTTAATATTTATTGTCTAATACTTTATTGTAACTGTTCTATCTTTATTGTCCTTAGAAGTAGAAAAAAAGTTTAATTTCCCTTCTTTAATATTTATTGTCTAATACTTTATTGTAACTTTTCTATCTTTAAAGGAACTGGACTTTCAATTTTTTCGTTTAGTTGTCATCTTTGCAACGAGGTTGTTTATAAAAATGTGCATTGCTTCAATTTTGAGTTGTGTTGAAATTTGGTTGTTTTGAGGTGGTCGTTATCACTGTTGTATTTTTTTGTTTTTTTTTTTCTCTGTATCTGTGTATAAATAAAATGTTTAAACCATGGGAAAAACCATCTACAATTTTTCGTCCATGGGGCAAGAAAACACAAGTGGTAGTAGAGAAAGTGTAACAGTAGTTAGTCGACAAGTATTTAAGTGACACAACGACACTGAGACTCGAACTATAGAAAATAGTTTACGACGTCTAAAACAAAAGATTGACCAATGAGCAACCAAAAAAAAATTTGTATGAAGGTTTACAAAAATCTGTAAAATGATCCCGAAAATAGTTGTAATGGCAGTATCATAGGAAAAGCGGCTTTTCTAATGGGCATTCCGAATTCTACCATGCGCAACATTGTAAAGAGTAGTGTTAAAAAGAGAAAAACAAGATCTTGTGCTAAATTGCGAAACGGATATATAACAATTGACATTATATATACTAAGCTTGTTACGATGGGAAGAATCTGCGTAAAGTGTGAACACTTTACGCAGACGGCTGAAAAAACTTGGATTCGAATACAAAATCGTTGATAAATGAGTCGGTATTATGGGAAGTAAGAGAATAGTACATTAACGTTTACATTATTTAGAAAAAATTTAAGAATATTGAGCTCAAAAGCGAACAATTTATTCTTTAAACGAGACATTGTATGACACGCATGTTAGCAATGGACTGATGGTTCACTTAGGTGCCAGCTTAAAGGCGTACCTCCAAAGAAAGCTTCTCGAATGATTATTGTGCACTGTGGATCTTTAAATAGTTGGGAGCCAAATGGGTTAAAGCTTTCCAAAAAAAAAATAGAAAAATGTAGTGGAGATTATCATCAGAACATTAATGCTAATATATTAGAAGAGTAGTTTAAGACCCAGTAGTATGATAATTATTAACAATGCCAGCTATCACTCAGGATTTCTAAAAAAATTCTGAACATTTCGTCATCAAAACAGGAACTACAAGATTTCCTTTTAAATAATACTATATTTAAAGAGAACTGTAATAAGAAACAATTACTTAAAGTGTTTCGTACCTATTATGATAAACAATATATACTGGGCACGATTGCAACAGAACATGGCCATACTGTTTTAAGGTTACCACCTTATTTTTGCATTTGCAATCCCATAGAAATTATTTGGGGTCAAGTAAAATAACGAGTTCGGAGGAAAAATATTTTTTAAAGATTTAATGTGAAAGTGATTGATTTAATTCGATAGGAACTATCAGAGATCACAAGTGCCGACTGGAAAAACAGTGAACCATGTAGTTAATGTAAAAAATGAATACAGAAGACTAGGACAATTGGCAATTTATTATTGATCTGTTGGATAGTGACGATGATGAGAGCTAGTCTACAGAAGAAATATTTTAGACAAGGTACGCTAATGTGGTGACTATTTTGGTTAAAACCATTCATCATCCAGCCTCAAGAGTCCACTGCTGAACATAGGCCTCTTCCTCATGTTTCCAACCCCGTCTATCTTGCGCCGCTCTTATCCAGTTTTTATTGAGTCTTCTTAAATCGTCAGTCCATCTTGTAGGTGGTCGACCGACGCTTCTCTTGTCTTCCCTTGGCCTCCATTCCAATAACCTCTTTGTCCATCGCCCATCTGTCATTCTGGCTATGTCTCCTGCCCATCTCCATTTTAGTCTGGCTATCTTCTCGATGATGTCAGTCACTCCTGATGTCTCCAGATATAAATACCTGGGACATGAAATTATGATTGGCAGAGATAACCAGACTCATGAACTGAAGAGAAGAGTCGGCCTTGGGTGGGCAGCATTTGGAAAACTGAGAGAAACTTTTAAAAGTGAGCTGCCCACATGCCTAAAGAGAAAAGTATTTGATCAGTGCGTCCTCCCAGTCTTGATGTATGGAGCAGAAACACTTACCTTAACAAAAGCAGCAGCTACCAAACTGAGAGTCACGCAGAGAAGAATGGAGCGGCCTATGTTAGGAATAACTCTCCGAGACAGAATAACAAACGAAGACATCAGGGGAAGAACAGGAGAGAACCATTCAGTTTTCATTAAAAATTGGTAACTTTTCTTTAAAACAATATTATTTTCTTAAATGAAGATAATTTCGTTTCGAATAATAATTTTTAACGTTCATCGTTAAACCTAGTATTTTTTTTCCTACAGGATGACAGATTGATCATTTTTAGACATTTCAGTGTTAACCTTTTAAAAAAACATAAAGGTAACGTTTTGTTTCTTTTCCAAAATCAAATTTCTCTGCCCTTTGACTATATACATATTACACTGTTATTTTATGATTTAATACTAACATCAATAAATTTGTGTCGGTGAAACAACCAATATCGCGATAGGTCCCTGGACAGCAGCTAATCGAATGTCTTAAATATTTATACCGCCACTTTTTTCGATGTGCGATAGAAATGTTGAGGCAACTAAGATTTCATTGATTTGGAAAGACCATTAACGTCAATTTTTTTTTTCAAAGTTTAAAACATTACTTATACATTATTGTAATACGTATTATAGTAATAGTATTTTTAATATGGAAAGATTCATGAAATATATATATATTTGCATTTTTGAATTTTGAAGCGTCCTATAAATAGATCACTGGGCGCTAGTGCCAACACAATTGCAAGTATGTATGAACGAGTTAAAAACAGTTATGGGAATTAACATTTTTATTTGCGCCTAATAAAAAATAAGTTTATATTTTATGATTTTGTATAAAACAATTTTTTCACAAATTTCCACAATGTGTTAGTAGATTAGCTATACAATTTTCTCCTGGACATCGTCTTTGATCTTCACAGTTTCCCTTGAAGTGTTCTTTCTCATCGAATTGTCCGTAAATACTTTAGACATTGACATTCTTGATCTTCCTACTATAATTTTTTAAGTAAAAGTCAAGTTTAGTTAGAGAACTACTATATATCGACTAAAATCTCTAAATTATATTTCTCGATGATTGTCTTACCTTTATTATCATTAATCTGCTCTAAAATGTTCCTCCAACTTATTCCACTTATCCAAGTAACTGATAATAGATCTTCCCTTTGGTTTTCTTCCTCTTAGTGGATATATTGTCTGCTTAACGTCCCTATATAAATCATAATAAAGCCATCCCTCCTAAGGTTGTGAGACTGTTTTCTTGTGGCGTGTCTACGTTAAATATTTTGTTAATATGGAGTTAAGCCACAATTGATTATAATTAAAATTACAATTTTTATTAACTAAAAATCGTTCTCAAAAAGATTATTAAAGAATTTTGTTGAAAAAAGTGTATAACCGTCAAAATTGAGGTTATGATCTCAACTTTTCGCTTGTCGTACTGTACTAAATTCGTGCAGTAGTATCTGCTAGAGTTAAAATTAATTATTTATGTTTTAAATGCATATTTTTAAATAAATAAATTAAATAATTATCATTCATTCGCTATATCATAGATCTATATTTTATAAATATTTGTCAATACGTTTTTTAAATCCCTTTACTAAAAGTTGTCTTTTTGTTTCAGACACGTACCTTAATTTCACAAAGAAACGGAATAGAAGCAAACATAACTCACCCTTAAAAACAAAAGAAATCAATGTGTTTATAAATTTTCCCAACGAAGAACCCACTACATCCACACATTTTCAAAATGCATATTGAAGTGCAAGTAGCTCTAAATTTTGTAATTTCGTACCTGTACAACAAACTCCCAAGGTAAGTGCTTTTTGTTAAGTTTTACGTGGAAATCGAATGGTCTCTGTTTTAATAGGACGTTATCGATGGGGACTATTGCTAGCAGAAATAGCAAATTATGCGCTAACACAAAAAATAATAGACTTTTACCACTTTTATTGCTTGAATCAAAATAAATATAATAAATATATATAAGTAAATGTGTCATCACTTTAATTCTTGTTTGTACGTAGGAGGCGAGTAAATATATTCGGCGAAGAGTTAGAAAAAGCCTTAAAAGAGAAATTCCAGGGCCACTGGTATCCTGACAAGCCGTTCAAAGGTTCCGCTTTCAGATGCCTAAAAACAGGTGACCCTATCGACAAAGTTCTAGAGAGGGCAGCCAGAGAAAGTGGTGTTCCCATCACCGATATCTTGGAAAACCTTCCCCAAGAATTGGCAGTTTGGGTTGATCCCGGTGAAGTAAGTATACTTAAAAATGTGAGAATGTGATATTGCGTAAACCCAGCCGAAAGGTTAAGATTTTAATATAGTATTAGTATTGGCTGACTATCGTTTTAAAAACGTAGAGTGTGGATGGGTCAATGAGAGACGAGTGTAAGTCAATGGTAACGTGGTAATGTAGTCGGGACAATTATTAGAAGCCCTCATTAGTTAGTAAAATTGTAATTTTTTTTACTTTAGCATATTTAATAGTAATATCTGCAATACTAAAGTTATTCAGTCGTCTTTTTTATTAATAAACGTTTTACTAGGGCTTACAATGATCAAGAGGAAGCTATTCATATTCCTTATCTACCTTTTGACATGAGACAAGAATAACTGTCTTAATGTATTGGCATTTACGTGACTTACTTCAAGGTTCATAAAATATTAAATTACTATTACTATTTGCTTCTGGAGTTATAATAAGTGGCTCGATAAAAACTTTAACACACTTGTCTATATCCCACATTTTAACTTTAATTCGCAATTATATAATGGAGCCCATAATATGGTGATACCATGTTCACGTTCCGTTTCGTATTTTTTCGATATGACTGCTGTGATAATTTGCATTGTCCATTATAATTATCGATCCAGGTTCTACAACCAATCCAAAAAAGCTTACCTGAAATACATGTCAACGAATTTGTGGTGAATTTGATAGTTATGTCAGAAGTAAATAACGTATGCTTTGCTAATACGTTAACAAGTGGTGTTAGGAGCAAACATAATAATTTAGAATTTGTTTAAAATATAAAAAATAAATAAATAATAAAATTACTTTATTCATTTTTAAAAATAGTATACTGCAGTAACGCCTACTCTTCCATTTTTTATCTTTTTTAATATTATTTTTATTTATATACCGAAAATTAATTTTATGTAATATTTTCTTTGTAATATTTGTAAGGATATTTTATTCAACGTATCATCTGCATATGAATTAATGTCTTGTTAAGTGACTTTTAATATGGAAATATTTCTTTTGTAATATTGTCAAAAACTATTGTCAAATGTCCTTTATTAATAGTTTTTTTGCAATTTTTGTTAGTGTAAATTATTCGAAAGAACATACGAACTAACACTCTCGTCAAATCTCCATCTAATGCTGCAACATCCCCTATCAACATATCTGGGTTTCTTCTACGTAATCCCCCACATATTAACTTGATCATTTTTTTCCTTGTTAGATAACGACCACGTTTCATCTTTTTCATGAACATATGGACCTTACGCTGGTTTTGTTTTTATTTTACCTGACTGTGCACTCATGATATACTGTCGACTACGAGATTTCATTGTTGGTATTCTAGGTTACAGAGTTGCCATACGTCCTTCGTAAAGCTTTCGGTCTCGGCTTTATAAGTGGTCACTAATTCATTTTAGGAACCTTGCATGACCTAAAATGCCTAAAACTAGACCAGAGCCAGAAATTTACACAAAATTTACTCTTTTACTGTGTCTATAACGGATATTCGAATACTTTGTCCAAAAATACTAATTTTCTAAAGTTTTAGTTACTTTTGTCTCACGTGTTCTAATTTGTTCTAGTATTCTATCAATCTGTAAACTATCTGCAATCTATTTTCTGTCTAGATTTCCCAAGAATTATCAGGATTAGTTACAATCCCTGCTAAATACTAAAGAGAGGTATGGGCATCTCCCAGGACTGAATTATTGTGAAAATTCCACCCAATTAACATTAAATTACACTAAGATTAATGAATAATTCAATAGGGTACCGAAAAAAACCCTCAAAAATAAATGTTAACACAAAATCGAATAGGTTGCTGCGTATTAAACCCTCTTTAGATGCAATATATGGCGAGGCATAGTTCTTTTGTAATATACTGTCGACATTAATGTACCTAATTTAAATGAAATAAAAAATTCACGCTCTTTTAGAGGGCGAACTGTCAGTCTGTCTCGAAACGAATATCTGGCCCCATAAATTTCCCTTGAGGTGTGTACATCTTCGTTCTCTCGTGTTTCTGGTTCCACTTAAATAAACTTTGACAAATATCTAAAATACGATATTTTTCTGTTCTGGTTAAAATTGGGTATCTAGATATTTTAAATAAACAAGCCGGCCGACTTTACGTCTCTTGCAAATATCATGGGTGGCCTTTTGCTACAATGATCTGATTCCAGTAGTACACTTTTTCTATGTTTCCGTTCATGTCTTTATATAATATATTTATATATCTCTCTTTAGGTTAGCTACCGCATTGGCGAAAAGGGAGCTGTTAAAATCCTATTTAGCGATAAAGGTGACCCACAAGACGAGCATTCCGCAGACCGAGAAGTCACCAAAACTTTCAACCCCGAAGCACAATGCTTCAGACCCATCGAGTGCGTCACATCAAGCATGAATAACTTGAGCATTTCTCCCAAAACGCTTACTCCGTTCACGGCCAACCCTCCGCAAAACAACGCTGTGGGAGCGCAACTACACCAACAGATACCGATTACACAGGTAAGTTCGTAAAATTTTGAAGGTATTGTTCGTTGTTACGATATTTCGGATTTAATCTTCTAGGTATAGTTTGTATACAGGGTCGGACTTTTATACTGATACATTTTATCAAAATTACGGCAATCCACAAAGTGAGAGTAAGAGAATAATACATATAAATACTTTTATATTAAGAAATATATATATATAACATAGTGAAAAAATACAAAACAAAAATAATTGTAAACTTAACTATCGTCTACATTTAAATCGGTATCACTGTCATCGCTATCGTTTACATCTATAACTACTCTATTTATAATGTTTTGGAACTATAAGTATTTTCCTTCTAGTTTTTTGACATGCTCACAAGATACAAGGAGGTAATCATAATACTTTATGGCCATAATTCTCAGCTAGCCTGTCGATAACATAATTTTTTTCACACTTATCTAATTTTAATAGTTCTACAAGTTGTTTTTTTTTATGTAAGAATCCATAACATATATTTCATGTTTTGATAAATATTCTTGAATTTCAGCTTTGTTTGAATTAGTGTTTGGAATTTTACTCTTTAGTCTACAATGATACGGAGCATTATCCAAAATAGTAACGCTATTTATTTTTAATGTAGGTAGTAATTGCTGCTCAAACCACTTTTCAAACAAGGTACTGTCCATATCTTGCTGATAATCTAACCGACAGAGTCCGGCTTCTGTATTCTTCTGTCTCCGACTTCTGTACACAATGTAGCTTCGCCTATTTTTAAAAATTTGAAAGTGTTTGTTTGTCCTTGTGTAGTGTAGTGTGATGTACCATTTTATGTTTATAACATTTTATTCTTGTCGGATAGGCCATAATTGACAAAATGCCCCTGAAGATGCCCTAGGGAACGAAAGTACTTGGGCAAGATTAAATTAATTAAACTGTGCTGGATATTTGCCTTTTATTTGATCAAAGTTCATTTATTCGAGCATTCAACCTTATATCAAATTATCATTTTAACTGAATAAAATTCCAAGAAATTTTCTAATCTCTTATAAACACTGTCTTTACATACCTAGAAATTTGTAATTCTGAATTCTAAGTACAAATGCAATTAACTTATTAAATTTAAATAGGTACACAAAATTATGCTTAAAATTTTATTTACCAATCGTTAACAACTCAAAATTGAAATACCTACTTTGTTATACCTAATTTGTATCATTTAGTAATATACCTTTAAACTTTGGATAGAATTTAAAATTGAACCTAATGTAACGAAAGACTAAGGGTGACTATTCCTTACAGCATTAAGGAGTACAGTTATTTTGTGCTTGATATCGGCTCAGTCTCTTATTCTGGAGATTTCCATCCGAATTATCTTGCAACGGACAGTATAATAGAAATAATATAGGTTGATTTTCCTCTGTTCAAAAAACTTAAAATTGTTCTGTTCACTGTTCAGTAAAATTTATCTTTTTAAATATTAAAATTTTATTTTCCCTTTATCATCTCTGTTACGAAATCAGCTCTGGCAGATTCAATTCAAAAAAATTTTAACTTATTAGTTTCTATGTTCAAGAATTCTGTCAACTCATTAAGTCCAAATTAAAAACAATCCTTACCTTTAAATTAATTAAATTCTCTATTTCTAGTCTAGAATAGAAATCTAGATAATCTAGATAATTCTCTTTTCTCTCCAGTACGTATTCTTTTTCCCCGGCCTATTGGCGACGTGCCAGTACTTGGATGTGATACGAGAAACGATCGTGCGCGAGTAGCGGCGAAATCTTGCATTTTTTACTGCACATTTCATAGATTTCATAAATTCATATTGTCAATTGTCATATTTCATATTCGTTTGTTTACACCTTCTGTCACTGAAGAAAATGGAATTTAGGAAATGCTGTGTTATAAATTGTAAAAATACAACAAAAAATTGTCAATTTAACTTTTATTCGTTTCCATCTTCGAAGCACAAATTACTACAAAGAGAAAAGTGGATTTATATCATAAAAAAGCATAAGTAACATAACCTTAATTATGGATTATTCTTGCGCCCGATTTTAAAGTCAGTTTGAAATAAATAATAAATAAAAGTTCACTTTTAAGTGTAAATTTAACTTTCATAACACTCACTTAGAGTTCATTTTAACTCAAAAATCAAGTTTAATGTTTAAATTTTATTTTTTTGAAGTTTACAAAAATTAATCAAGTTCAAGTTCTTTTTCTGAAGATGCATTAAGATATATTCGCTGTCCAAAAGTTTACAGGGAAAGAATTAATTGTTCAAACCAATATGATGATATCATGGGCTTAACCTGCTAATTTATGCATTAGCATTATTTATGGTAATTTATTTTTCTTAATTCTTCTACATAATTCTTCCATTCTTTTTTGACATTTGCCACTATTAAAGTTTTTCCCTTTGACTCAGTGCTTGGTTGAAAAGTTATTTGGTAATTTACTTTCTCAAATTCAGTTTTTATTATTGCATCCATATTAACAGTAATGCTGTAATTTAATAATATATTTATTTGTATTTACACTACATACAACGTTTGCCTTTTAATAACATACCGACATAACCTCAATCTTATTTTTTCTTCTTATTCTTTTTTGGGGCTACGTCCTTGACAGTTATCTGGTAACCTCGATCTAACATGAAAGCGCATTAAAATTTTGCTGATTTACGACACCAGGTGTCGCTGTTACGAACTTGCACGGTCCCAATATCTTAATATATGTTCTGTGATTTATGATGAATAGTACGAATCAACAAGCAAACATACTCCTTCATTACCAGGTTAGTCCAGGCAGGATCTCTCGAAAATCAGTCCATAATGGACATTTTCAATAAGAGTATATTTTTTTGCTGCAATCACTTCACGATGTACCTTGTATCAATAATCACGATATATGGCAGTCGCAAACCTTATGATTAACCTTTCTTTTAAGAAAATCTGACAAAAATCGAAAATGTTTGCCTTTTCGCGCCCATATTTTCATCTATGACTCGAGGGATATTGCTCGTATATCGTGATTATTGATACAGTGTACATCCCTAAGTAATTTCAGTAAAATACTAGACTCCTGTGGAAAATGTCCAATTCAAAACAGATCCTGCCTAAATTAAGTCTATAAAAAGGGTTGCAGGTTTATCTCTTTCACTTGTGATATTGTGAACTTTTTTGTCCAATGTTTTTCTTCTGTATATTCTCTCAGTGATTACGATGCACTGAAGTGTGCTTACATAAAATTAATATTTTCACTTTTTATATACAATTTTCCCAAATGTATGAGAAGGTTATAGTATTGAATACTAATAAAGAACTTTGGACCTGACTGCCTTCCTCCCATCCTGCTTTAAAGTTACGGCTTTATTCTTGCATGCCCACTCTGTTTTATTTTCAACAAATTACTTGAAATTGGTCGGTTTCCAGACGGAAACTTAGTTTTATTACCTATATGATACCACTAGGAATACCAGATTTGAATCTTTCATTCATTTGTCTTTTCATAGTACAAACTATTATTTTTACTTCTCTTTGTCGGATATTATAAGATTGACCAACTGCCTGACAATATATATATATATAATATATATATATATATATATATATATATATATATATATATATAATATATATATATAGTAAACTCTTAAATATTGGGGAAATCTGCAAGAAAACTCTAATGTGTATCAATTATTTCACCTAACGTTTTCGCCAAAGAGAATTAATTTGGCTTCTTCAGGGCTGAAAGAGAATAAATTATAATTAGCTACCATATATTATCTAATAAAAATCATTTACCTTACCGTAAATTTTAGAAATGTCGAGGTATGATGTTAAAAAACTTTAGCTAGTAACAACATAGTGGTGTTTTTTTTGTTACTATGTGCAAAAAAGTTTATTTGTTAACGTTGGAAATGTATGGTAGTTTTGAACTTAAAACGCAAAGGTTTACCCAAGGTTAATCGAAAAACCCAATGTAACTACATTTAAAGGAAGTAATTTTTTGAATTGTCGGTAATAACTAAATTTTTTGATTGTTGTAAAGTTTGAATGTGAGCTTCTGTTTTCATAGAACGCAAGCGCCGAACAATTAGAAGTAGGTCTTTTGAATATCTATGTCGTTAAGGTTTATTGGTAAAACCGATGGAAGTTTATAGTATAGGAGCATATAACCAATATATATATATATATAATATATATAATATATATATATATATATATATATATATAATATATATATATATATATAAATATATATATATAGGATTTTAATGTGTAATACTTATCTGCCATTCATTGGTTTTATTTTTGTACTGTTGTAATTTTTTTTATTTTTATAAAATATAAAATTTATTCTATATTTATATATAAAACGGTTTCACTTACGAAATAATTACATAATACTTTATTTTTCAGCATAACGGAAACCAAGCCCCGCCCAATAACCAAATCAATCACTTGTCGTCACCTTCGTTAGCGCCATCACCAACTTTGAATACCTCTTACAAAGGCTCGCCATCTCCTGTACCGGCATTCATACCCAGAACGACTACGCCCTTGACCTTCACTACGGCTACCTTTGCTCAAACGAAATTTGGTAGCACTAAGTTGAAAACAAGCAGCAAAAGAGCTAATAGGTAAGTCAATTTTTAGTTTTAAACAAACATACTCAATATCAGAAGAGACAAACATGACCAGTAATGTTGGGATTCGTGATTTCACAAAGGAAATTTAGAAAGAATTTTGTTATAAAAATACATGTTGCAAGCAAAGATAAAGACTTGTTTATATGGGTGTGAATGGTTGTAAAAACATACTTAAAAAAAAAATCAAAAAAATGAAACACAATAGAACGAGAAACACTTTACATAAAACTTAGTTTTATATTTTAATCAATGTTTAATATTCCATGTCTAATAACATGTATTTTTTTCAGAATGTCTCCCACCGAATTCTCAAACTACATCAAGCAAAGAGCAATGCAACAACAACTGCATCAACAGGCCCCGCACCACTCCCCAGCAGGTCGCGCACTGTCCCCAGACCCATCCACATATTATTTCCCGCACGGCCACTATCCACCGCAATTCCCCCCTAGATCCGTGTTTGAGTCTTCCAATCAATTTTTGAGTCCCGACGTTTATCCCGGCAAGTTGCCGTTCGAGCACTCAACACCTTTGGGACCATATTATCCCAACAACGGACAGGTAGGAGCACCACCGTCAGCTCCCACTACTCCCCAGGACAATGGGAAACTGATAGACAACAACTGGCCCTATCCCACCGCTGGACAGTACCAGCACCTGCTCGTTGCTAACTGAGGAGCTTCATAGGCAAGGGATCTTTTTCTGTCTGATAGAAGTATTTGTTTGAGGGGTCTTTAAGGTTTAAAAGGTGCTGGATAAATAAATAATGAATGAATAATACATGTCTAGTTCTCCACGTGAATTGATATTTTTTTAATAAATCGATAGAGTACATATATATACTTATCAGAACATGTTAGTATTATCTTTATTTTGTTCACGTGTTGAATAGGTGTACCATTTTATATTAGGCTAAAAATATTTACACGTACTCTTACTAAGCAATTTATTTGTTGGTCGTCGCAATCATAAACTTTTTTAATAATAAGCGGACAATCTGAGAATATTATCACAGTAATTCGAGAAGTCCTAAAGTGAATTACCCAGTTAAAAATGTGTTTAGTCAAAAAAAAGATATTTTACATTTTTTTTATTTTCTTTTACATATTTATTATTATATTGCTAATTTTAAAATTTTATTGGTAGGACATTGGTCTAATTAATACGTGATGGTAAATTCTGAAAGAGTTTGCAATTTACTAATTTATTGCATAAGGTTCGAAACAAACTGATTCAACATAAGCCACAATGGTCCTTTGAGCCGGTTTATAAAATAAAAACCTGATCGAGAACTGTATGAGTTAAGCATCGTTATAACATAATTTTAAAGTTCCATACTTCAATAACTAAACGTATTCATAGTTTTATAATTATTTAAAATGTAAAATATTTTTTTTAGAGATTAAACAAGAAGTTTATGTCACCTGTTGTAAGAAAAACGTGCAATCCAATCACATGCACGAAAAAATTTTAATATTACTTAAACCTCATACTACAACCCCCAAACTACGCTTTACTTTTCCTTACTACTGTATTTTTGATATTTGTGTGATAATGTTAATATAGTAAAAACACAAAATCATTATTTGAGAAAACTAAAACAAATGGGTTATGTAAAATAAATGATAAAATGACTAGTACCTTCACTTGAGCCCATGATATTGTCTCTAGAGTAATACTGTGTGTATCGTTTTACCGATGTGTGCAATATTTATAAATATTTTTATGAATTAGTAGTTAATGGTAAATATGTAGAGAATTTTGTTAATGTTGGTAGATGATTTATTGTAAAAACACGTAGATTTGTTCGAACGACAAGAACTTCACGATACGGATTTAATCTAATCAGCAATTTTTCCATTTTTTTTATTTGAATTTTTCAACAGCAAACTTACAATATTTAGATAATGAATCATTATCAAACGGTCATAAATATTGTTATATCGAAAATAAGATTGAACAGATCGAAAACAACACCATGACATTATTTGGGGCCATTATTTATTATTAGTTTCGTACCATACCTAAAAAAAATACATTAGCAAAACAGGTGATTAGCAGCACCATTTATTAGCACCACACACTTTAAGTCATAACGTCAGTTGGTATTAACAAGCACTTAGTTGATATTTAAACAAAACTGGGTTAAGTGATAAAATCTTCCTTATTTAGTGCTATATATAACCAAAAACTCTTAACAATAACAATATAACTTTAAATCTGGTCACAAAAATGTAACTATTTGTTGTCAGATTAATAAATTTGTGTAGTTCATCATAAAAGAATTACGAGTTAGTGATATATTAAAAAAAAGCTCAGTTTTTCATTGATGTGACGCTGCCAACAAAAATATTGACATCATTTTATGATAAACTCATAAAATATCTGTACTAGTTAGTGCTAAAGATGAGCAGTTTGGCCATAAAAAGTCACAATCAATGCTCTAGCCAACAGAACTGGCCATAAAAGTGCTGTTATTCTGTGCTATATCAACCAAACTGGGATAGTATATCATAGCAGTGTCATTTGTCAGTACTATGTCAAAAAAATGGGCATTTGGTGGTATTAGAACACTCAATCAAATGGGTATGGAACCATAGAGACTTTCTATTTAAACTGGTCTGTAGATTTGGCAAAGATGAAGAAGATACCAAAAATGGCCTAAATAAATAAATAGACACGTAAATGTGAAAAGTATAGTTTCAAAAATGTGTAAAATTGCTTTTAGATCCAACTTTTTACTTTGTTACTATAGTTATTTAATTAAAGTTCCTATTTCTTTAAAAAAAAAGTAATTATTTCACACAGCTAACATAACTAAGGAATGGATTAGATATAAAACCTGTATATATTAATAGTTTAAGAATGTCGATATTGGGATGTACCTTCCATGATTATGGATTAGTTAGGATCTCTCTAATGATAAATAATTTGTACATATTTGTATAATTTATATTTTTTGTACCGACGTCTTAACTATAGTTTTAACTATAGTCACTTTTCTATTTTTGATACTGCATTATGCATAATATTAAGTGGATTGCGTTCTATCCTGGGCGAAAACCGGGTAAAGCTTTTTTATAAATAGTTATTTTTTTAATTGACGCTGTTCCGCCTAAAAATAAAAATCAGTGGTTATTCAACCACCCGAAACGTCATGAGGCCTTTGGCTATCATTTACCATAGTACTATGTTAGGCAAAGATCGATATTGTATTGTATTGTAAGATTTTTAGACGGAACGAGACAGTAAACAATAATTAACAGTAACTTTTAAAGGACAATTTTATAAAAACCAGAACTATCTGAAATATACATCTTTATAAAAGTAAATGTTTCTTACTAGAAATAGTCATTGTTAAACAATTCAAGTTATTTTCTCCTTTTTTTCACCCTTTCTTTTCCTTTTTTCTTTTTACTTTTTATTGTTTTTAAATTTTTATCACCTTTCCTTTATTTCGCTGTATATTCTTGTATTTCTCTTTCTGTTTTCCTGGTTTCCTTTTTGGATTTTTCCGCATTTTTCCTTTTTACGTTTTTGTCTATATATTTTTATTCATTTTTATACTTTCCCCTTTTCTTCCTTTTGGTTTCTTCTTCTTCCTTTTTCTTAGCTATGTACCAAAAAAACAATAATGGATGAGCTAAAACTATCGAATACCAAAAAGATAACAAGAATATTGGGACAATGTGTATATCTACGAAGAAAAAATCCTCTACTGACGGCCAAACCATATTTTAAACATTCGGAAATAAAATTCGAGGATCTTCTATAATCACTTCTATCACTTGTAAAACAATTGATGATACATGTTAAATATCACATGGTACGTTAAATGTTACATTTCACGTCAAATGTCACATCAATTTGTGATTTTTTTTTACGTAAAAAATTTTACGTAAAACTGTGACATTTGACATGAAATTGAAACTTTTACAATGAATAATTTCACTAATATGCCATTCAAACGTTGTCTTGAAAATAATTAAAAAAGCAGAATAGAAATTGTCGTTTTATGAGGTTTTCTCATAAGAAAATACTTGGATATGAAAGCTTGATTTAGAGCATCTTTACCGTCACAAAATAATAGTTCTTGAAAGAAATAGGAATGGAAGAGCTGCGACCACAGAGAAGTATGAGATTCAAAGCTTCCTCATTTCTTTCGGTTTATTTTAATCTGTGTTTTATCTTATTTATTTTTCTAGAATTTCTCTGCGTGTGCTTTTTTGTGTTATATTTTGACATTTTTATTTAGATAAGTAATATTTTGGATATTTGGTGGATTTTTATGCAAATGTTGTATTAAAAGTTTTAGAATAACGTTTATTTGCAAAAGAACGCACTGTATAGATATATTCGCACGTTCTACATCATATGTATTATTCAAGACATCTCCATCGCTATTTATTCAAGTAATGGTTTTAAAACGAATCTTAGAAATAAAAATACACGTAAGGAAAAGTAAAATCCAATGTTACTAGTGGACTATCAGAGTTTTACCTTATATATTATAAGAAATAGAAAGAGATTCCCAATGAAAATTTGAGAAAGATTTTTATAAATCGTAGTCATATAGATTATAGGTGTTTCTTACTTCATAAAAATGGTGTTTACAGTATTCTTGTAGACTAGAGTGTTTCCTAAATTTTTTATATTGTATGTATTTTTTTATTTTTGTATGAAAAGCTCAAGCTGTCATCTAGTCCCATGTTAAATGTTTTAATAAGTGTTTGGCATATCAAGACGGAACCTAAAATACCAAAAAATACCTAATGTTAGTTTGAAACCCGTTTACACAAAGTGGCCAGCCTGCATGAGGTAGTTCTTCCATTATTGCGCAATAAAATGATCTGTCTTAGAAGTACTGACTTTGTGATATTCCATATTAATAGTACATTTTTTAAAATGGATGTAGTAGATACAAAAAAATGATTAGACTTCTAGGTTAGTCTGCAAGACACACTCACTAAAGCCAACCATAATTTTACCACTTAAGAACATCCATCTTGAATTTTTTTAACGTATTACTAGATGGTCCTACACTAGTCACCAAACGCATATATACAAGTTGTTCCCTTCATTTTCTTCAATATTTCTTATCTTTTACTGTCTTTACCGTATTCCTTATTTCCATCTAGTCCCTCCATCGTGTCTTAAGTCTACTTCTTGATCATTTGTCACATTCATGAGGTTACTATATCTTTTATATTTGGTCTAACTATCTTTGAAAAGTTTTTAGTTCTTTTCGTTTGTTACTGTGAGGGTGTTTGTCTATAAAATGTATCTTTTCAGTCTAAAACACTTTTTTCTACGTGTTAAAAGTTATGTATCATATGCATAAACTATGCTAGATACTAAATATCTTTTAAATCACTTAAAACCAGCTTGAAGCTGCTATATCCAACTTTCATCAAGTATTAATTTCATAACAGAAGTCTATGTTAAAGCTTTCAACGTTGACGTCAAATTCAGCAATTTTATTCTACTTTACCTATCAGAATATCTTTAATCACTTTACGGAACTTTAGCATGTGGAAAACATTTGGAAATATCTTATACTAAGCTGCCTTAAAATATATAGTTGTCTAAAATATTCTAAATTGTAGTTATTATTTCAAACAATTGTGATGTAAGGACCTACATAACCTAACCTAACCTAAGTAACCCCAAAAAATTTTAAAAAATGTTTTATTTTTTATCTGTACTTTTTGGTATACTAAAACATAAATAACTGAAATTAACAAGACTATAACGTACAAGGACCGTCTTTCTAGAAATATGTTTAAATACATTCACAATTTTAAGCAATTAGAAACCGTCCTTTGGTAATTTTATATATCAGTACTACTTGTTTCTCAATACTGGCAATATAGATACTCCCTTTAATCTGTATTTTTTTTTTCATATAAAAAGGCATACACAATATTGTATAATAAAACGTCTTGCTGACTAGCCTTTGTAGTAGTAGCTAGCAATTTTGTGTGGACGTGGCTTCTTTTTGAATAAATGTTCAGTATTGCATGCTGAGGTAACCCGATGGGTTCTAGATGCTTCCTTTTCTCAAATTAAGGAGATATGTGCTATTTTTTACTGCTTGATTTTTGTTACTTTTTCACTGATGTTTATTTTTTATTTGTATAAAATTGTTGACTTAATATAATATATATTTTGTTATGAGCCGATAGTTTGATTGCACCAGAGGGCACTAGAACTGATTGTTTTTGTGTGTTATAACAACTGGACAAGTAAGATTAACTGATACACAAAAGCAATCAGCTTGCTTTACCCATTACTATTATTTTTTTATTATGCGTACCTGACATTGTTACAATATCATTAAAAATCAATTGCTACCTTACTAGCTAATTTGTTATTAAGTATAAGTACACATTTTTTCAACGAAAAATCAAAATTCAACTATAAAAACGCTTACTACTCCTGACATTTACCTTTACAAATTCATTGGTCATCGATGATATGCCCACAAGATCTTTTATATGCCAGTTATGACCGCATCCTAACTTTCAAGGCAATACAACAATACTGTAATATGATGACATTAAAATTATCATGGATCTCCTCTGGGATCCTAAAAATACTTCCTCTCGTGCAATACTTCTTTCTCAGTAGGAAGATTTAGTTCTCTACAAGAATTTATTACTAGTAAAGCATGACATGTATATACACGTGGTATGTACAATATGTTACGGTAAAATCACTTGGTTAAGTAAACTCGCTTGCATAAACCTAATACAGTTGTTTCTACTAAAAAAACTCAATAAGACAATTGAATACAAATTTATTCATCTATAAGTATAATTAAAATTATGACACAAGCACCGCCAGGACATTTCACTGTACATCGAAGAGGAGAGACTATGTTGTTCTTGACGATGTTGACATCAATTTAAAAAAGATCGAACGATCTAGTATCGTGTGGAAAAGTTATATTTCTGGTAAAGTGAAAAATTCCAAATACACGTTCTGTTATTATTATGACTGACATTTCCACTTCGATAACATTATTACACTTATACATAAGTATATTATAAATTCATTATAGTAATCTTATTACGATTTGTAAGGTATTTATAACTATTAATGAGTTATGGTATAAAATACTAATTTATTTGACATGTGCTAACGTACTATTTAGCATTTAACCAATATTTACCGAACACAAAAAATTACAGAACAAAAGTTTGTTTTAAACACACAATGTCAACAAGTCAATGAAAAGTGGTATCTCAAGTTAAACAGAAAATAATAATCAGTCGTTAGAATGAAAACCATAGGGAAACGGTTTGGTCTGAGGAAATTATACGCAATAATTAGTCACATCCACTTTAAATATGGAGGCTCTGTCTACTTTCGAATGACTGCTATCATGTCAACTGTCGTACGTAATAAATTCTGTTTTGAAGTATTTTGAATTCTGATTTCAGTTCAGGTATGACTGTTTCTGTTTAATAATTTAATATTTAACGTTTAAAAGATTTGTATAAGCAATATTTACTAAGCACAAAAACTAATTTGATAGGAAAAGTTTTTAATGTAAATTAAAAACTCCGTGCTTGGAATATTCTCTTATTTTCTCGTTCTAATGCATCATTAGCGATCGGCTATTTAAATCTGGATCAAATGTCTGCTGTCATGTCAACTGGTATACGGCGTAAACTCTGTAGCCATCCTTTTTATTATGTCTGTAGAGTCCCACCGGTCTGTATTTTTCACTGTTCCTAAACTTTCGTGCGATTAACTGTGATTGTATAACTTGCTGAGCATAGATACGTAGCACCAATTATAATAAAATGGACATAACTGGCATGCAGATCGTAATTTATTCATTAAGATTTTTATTTTCCTATTTTAGTAGATGAAGTTGTAAACTGTAAATGTAACTAGATTATACAAATAAAAATGAAAATTTACCAAAAAATTTTCATTGATATGTGATTGAAGCTTTAGAATATCACTAAAAGTGATACTACAATATCACTGCAAGTGATATAAAAATTCCGATGGTGATATTTGTGCAAATAATGTTGGTATAAAAACAAATCAAGAATTAGTTTAAAAACTGCTCTCTGCACTGCATGAGTTTGCATGTTATTTGCAAAAAATTGTGTTGATGTGAATTGTTCACGGCAGTTTAAGAATTTTTGACCGTTTAACCAAGTAATTTACAATGATTATGGATCGATGGAAGTTAAATCAAATTATTTTATAAATAAAACATTAAAAACTATTAAGATTCAGAAGAAACTATTTTCCTGTGGCATGTCTTATGTTTATATGGGATTAAGCCACAATTATATATTAGCTGAAAATTTGACGTTTCGATTTCTACTCCAGAAATCGTTTTTCTTTTTTAACGATTTCCGGAGGTTTCTAGATGGTTTGCTTTAATTTTAATATAAAGAACATGCAACGAAATTTTTTTTCAAAATTTAATTACTGTTAATTGAATTAAAACTATTTGCGGTCACTCTTTGACTTGCAACCTGCTATAAATTTATTTTCCTATTCTATAGGCGAACACCGTGGTATTCTGGTATTCTATAGGTATATCCTGTAGTTTTATTAATTACGTTATGAGCGTAGTATAATCTTACAGCGAGATCTCGTACTATGAGGACTGGTATGTCAAGAGTTTTAACATTCACAAAGAAAAGTTAAAAAATAGCTAAAAATAGAAAAACAGCTTTATCATTTACGGCAACTCTTTTGTAATTTAATTCATGCTATTGTGTAGGATGATCGACTGCTTAAGGTTTTATATATTCCTGATTTTGTAGCGTCACCAGCTTATTTCGCTAAGGATCAATATATCACACCGAACCGTTAGTTTCTATCTCTTTTCATACTGCCCATCCATTGCCCAACCCAATCCATCGGCGTATTCTAAATTAGCTCGCAGATGAATTTTGGATCTTATGTTACTATATTAAACTTTTTGTTTTGCTGATTCTGACCAATTAAGTCAGATAAATAAGAAGTTTTTGTTTCGGTTTGGGCATCCTCCAGCGAGATTTATTATTGCTTTAATCGTTAGATTGCGTTAGGCTTTTTGGCTTGTTTGTTACGTATTACTTTCTGGTTTATGCGAATGGGAAGGAAGCTAAGACGAAAGAAAAAGCTAAAGGGTAAGATAGCTGGTGTAGATTGTTACCAAAAGTTTCGTCAATACTTTAAATAATACATTTTGTAAAAATGTATAGAACTAATAGTTTTTAGTGTTTTATTTATAGTTTATAATTATAAAAATGCCATGCCTTAGATACTCATTTAAATGATGTAGGTAAATATAGTAGTTAATTATAAATAGGTATAGAAAAATTATATTATTTCTGATAAATGGAAGTGATTAGTTCTATCATGAACGAGAAAATGGATAATTCTGCTTCTTTAACTAGAGAAATTTCTAGTTTTTGTAAGGAAGAATATAAGGTTAGTGTTTAGACAATCTGTAATAAAGACTAAGATGGGAGTGATATTAAAATTTGTAATAGTAAATGTGGTATTAGTTTTCTATAGAATCGTGTGGCTAATAATCAGTAGGAGGTAAGTGAAATCATTATGTAAATTTTGTCATTACCCTATGGTCGCCTATGGCCACTATTTAACAGAAGTAACAATCCAAGTGAAGCCATTTTATATATACATGTAACTATATTTAGAATAGCTTTTAAAGTACTTAAAAAACCGTTAAATTTAGCAAAAATTGTATAGATGATTGCATGCTCTGTAGTTTGTGATGCATTCCAAGAGAACTAAACTTATTCCAAACATTTAAACTAAACCTAAGTAACGGTTCGAAAAGGAACGGAAAGAATTGCGATTCATAAACAAATATACAGAATCAATTAGGAAAAGCAAAATTAAGATTTATTGACCTCTTAATCTCCAAGAACTACAACAAATCAGTTTTATAGAAATGGCACACGTGTAGTCTGGTCTGGATAAAGTAACAATATATATATATATATATATATATATATATATAATATATATATATATATATATATATATATATATATATATATTGTTATTAGAATTGGTTTAGACGCAAGGACTAGTTAACCTCACCTAACATATAAGTAAAAGTTGTAAATCTTTAAAAATGCTTGTTATAAGCAGGGCGATCTGAGGGTTGACAGATCAATGCATCTTGAAGACAAATAAGAAATAACTGACAGACTAAAAAAAATGTGTGGAGAAAGGTTAAATATTATGTTTTACTTATATATTATATAAAGAAATAATCCTATACAAATGAATAACAGTAAAAGAAAATAAATGTCTGAAGAAAATGTGTAGACAAAATATTTAAGTAAAGAAAACGAACTTAAAAACTTAAAATCAGGATATTAACGATGGGAGAAAATGTGTAGACATATGTAAGTAAAAAAACAAACTTAAAATCATGGTATAAACCATGGCGAAATACTCAATCTCTTTCAACAAAAATATGGTGTAGAAATCAGGTTTAATAATGATTTAGAGATTTATATGAACAGAGACCAAAAATGAAGGCTATGGAAAGGAGGAAGGAAAAGCTTATTTGTAAAATGAGGTTCAGTGCTTAAAGAAGATAAGATATCTTCTTTGCTAAATATTTAAAAACAATTGAAAACGTCTATCAAAACAACAAGATAGAGTCAGAATAGATGGACAACTTAAGGAACCTATAAATACAGGTAAAAGAATAAGACGGAGAGATTCACCAAGCTCTATGCTATTCAATCTAATCATGGATGAAGTCATAAAAAGCGTCAACAAAGGAAGAAGATACAAAATGGAGAACAATGTAATTACAATAGTATGTTACGCAGAGGATGCAAATATAAGATCTAAGAAAAACCATTAGGAATCTACGTAAAGAAACCATTACTGGAATAACACACAAAAATACTGAAAAAATGCTAACTGAACATGAAGATCAATTCACAAAAAGATCAAATTTGCGAGAAGTCAACGTGAAGATTTAGAAACAATTGTAAAATATAGTAAAAATCACATACTTGTAGGTACGTCAACAGTTCGACAAAAATATAAGGGAGACCTCCGAAGACATGAGAGCTGAACAATATTTTCGTTACGGCTGATTTTTGAATGAAATCAGTGGTTAACCTTAAGGGTTAGTCATTTTTATCTACAGGATAACTGTTGCTCT